CATTTTGTTTTTATTATTTAAATAAATTGTCCATTTTTCGACAGAAGATAAATGTTTTTCACTATTTGAATGTTTTTTAAGAGCTTTTATTGGGTTGTGATTAATCCAACACTTAACACCAATATTAACGTATGGAACATTGCCACAAACTTGTCCCTGATAAGTACCAATATAAAAGTTTCTGCAGGGAAAACAAAAAACTGAATCTTCATGAATAGAATATTCCAACCAATTAAACATTGTATAAAATTTATTATTAAAAGCTCTACTGTTAGTTTTTGGAAAATTTAGAAGTGTTGGTTGGACAGGTTCATCATTTTTAGTTTGGGAAACATCAAACACCTAGTAAGAAAATAATTATAAAATCATAACTTGTACTTATTCAAAATAAAACATTATTTATAGTTTAGTGTATACATAATTAGCAACATAATATGGATAGTTACATTTGTGCCTTGCGGGCCAAAAATGACAATTTAGAATTTTAGGTACGCAAATGTATACCCTGCGTACCGCAAATGACGCCCCTGATTAGCACCTAAGAACTTTGCCATGGCTATGTTACTGGGAGCTCTATCAAATGTTAGTGATTTAATTAAAATGCCTGTTAAATGTAATTGTGATAAACATGTTCTTATAATATTACCCTTTTCTTCAGCACTTAAACCATTCATGAGATAATAGCCAACAAATATTTTCTAATGTGCATTATATAAGCCACAACCATAAAAACTAAAGCATCTTTGGCATATCGTCGGTCTAAATTGCAATGGTCGTATATTCAAAATTACAAATTTTTCAGGAGAAGAATAAAATGTATTAAATATTTTATTCTTCTGCTCATTTAATGCGCCTCACAAAAATTAGACACTATTTTTTTCCATTTCATTTAAATTCTTAGTGTGAATTAATTTTTTTTTATTAAGGGATTTAGAACTTTTTATATTGTCTAATAAATATGGAGATATGACTTTTATGATGATTGCGCATTGGACTTACAACCATTTTTTCCTAATAATTCCTAATTTATATGGAGATATGCCAGACAGCTTTTAAACATAATTAGGTCATTACCTAGTATTGTGTAATAAATATACTTAAATATTATTATTATAATATTATATTAGTACCATATATTATTTAGTATTTTAATTAATAAAACTTTTGTATTAAGGACAAAAAGATGTAGGTGCATTAATAAAATAAGTAGATAGAAACTTTTAATAATAATAAAAAAAATTAAAACAATAGTTGACAATATTTTCCTTAGTCTTATAGAATTCAGTCTTTGAATAGTTACAATAAAATACAGTTTTTTAATAAAATAAATGTTAAAATGTAAAATAAAATTCAAATCATCATTGAAATGGCACATTATCAAAAAAATGATAATAGTCTTTTTCCATACTATTTTTAAGTTGGTGTAAATTTTTGAATTTTTATTCTATGCATATGTAGTTGTGGTAATTTTTCTAAGATAACTGCATTCTGTTTATTATTTCTTAACAGTGGAAGGTTTAACCAATCTTTAGTAAATTTTAGTTTATAGTTGATTTCTTTGTTCGGCTTATAATTAAGAGCTTTTATATTAGCCATGATATGATCATCCTTTTTACTTCCTGGTTTTATAGACTTACAATATTTAAGTATAGAAAATTATTTAAAAAAATGATGTAAAGTACTCAACAATATATGGTTGTTTAGTACATGCACTTTTGCATATTGAAATATGATCCGCAGGCATATTAATCTTTTTATTTCTAATTTATTTTTCTATAGTGGAATGCATACAGTCAACATCCATCTGTGTGTGACCAAGTAGAAATTTTTGTGTAATAGCAACACCAAATAAAATGGACAAATTTAATAATGTATTGGATAGTGTAGCGTTGCAGTTTTTAAATGCCCATCCATTACTGAATAGTATGATGTCAACTTCACTATTTTTAGTTTGTTCAATTACAAATTTCTGAAGGAAGTATGTTATAATTGAACTAAATTCATTGGCTGAAAGGTCTCCTCGTGACTCATTTCAAAAAAAGTAGTAACCTTGTTTTCTTTTTATGTCATAAACTGTGAAATTGTGTACTATCAATTTAGTTTTATAATACAAGGATGAAAAATTTGATTTAGGGCACAGAAGAATTGATTGAAGATCTATAGTGAACACCTAATTGTCAGATAATTTGTCACGTTCTTTTTCTTGTCTGGTTTCTTTGTTTCATTTGGTCATGAATTGGTTTTTCTTCTGATAGATTTCCTGTCTCTAAAACGATACAGATATCACAAGCACCTTTTTTTGGTCTAAAAAGAGAAATATTTTTTCTTCTAATACAGTATCAAATATTGCACAACTCATTGGTCTTATGTTACAAGATTGGCAATAATCTGTACAATAAAAATCATATAAACTTTTTTTTGTGAGCCATTTTGGTTCCAAGTACAATTTAGATGAACTTGCCCTACAATAATGACTCAATTTTTGGTAGTAAATCTAAAAACAAATTTAATTGGATTCTTCTTCCTGATACTGAGTTAACTGATTGTGGATTTTCTAAAATAGCTGAATCATTAGTTCTATCCAAATCATTATCTATATTAATATTAACAGAATCCATATTTTAATTGCAAACCAAACTTCTTATGGTTTTTTCACCAATGCCAAGTGTATTTAAAAAAATAGTTTTACAAATTCTTATTCTTTGATTGCCTATCATTAGAAAGTATTTAATAAACAAATGTCTCCTTGATTGAAGTGCCAAAGTTCTTTTTCTAGGTGTTGTTTTGATTATTGTATGTTTTTTAAGGAATTGTTTTTTCTCACCTTTATCAAAGCTCCAATACAAATTAAATAAATTATTTCTTTGGTCTTCTACAAGTTTAGAGCACATCAGTTTTGAATTACTTTCATTCTATAGTTTATAATGGCAAGGTTGTTTTATTACTTTAGATGGCCGATTTATGGTGTACAACCATTTACTATCATTTTTTTTTTTTTTGTCATTCTATTGTTTTCCTTCTAATATATATATTTTTTTTAATCACATTTGCTATCCAACCATTTGAGTTGCCTTTTCTCTTTCTTGTTCTTTTATGATGGTTGAGTAGTTCAGTAACAAGTTCAGTATTTTCTTGTTCAGAAATTTCAGAAGTTTCAACAATATTGTTTTTATTATTTTCTATACTTATAAAATTAATATCATTACCTTGTACCGAATTTGAATGAATAACAATCTCTTTATGATATGATTATCTACGGTCTGAATAACTTAAGTAGTTTGCTTTACATTGTATATTATTTTTATTCTGATTCTGTACACTATTAACATTTTCATCAACACTTGCTATGCGCCACTATCAAATAAATAATTAAGTTGTTCAGTAATATAGGCATCAATATTCAAATCTGAAAAAGTTAAAATATTATATTTATATTTTGTCAAAATACCTATACGCTATAACTTGCCAATCCGCCCCACCATGAGTTGCTGCATTCCATATCTCATTAACGCTGTTCATCCATCTTTTTTGTGGCCTCCCCCTTGGTTTCCACTTCAAGTCATTACTTTTTTTATTAGGCTACAAAAAAACATATCCACTTTTTTAAATTTTTCAAGAGAAACAAAAAACTGTTTTAAAAATGTACAAAAAATTTATTCAAATACCTTGGCAATGATTATAATTAATTTTATAAAAAATGTATTTTTAAATACTCAAAAAAAAATTTAATTAAGTCTTGGAGATGTCTTATTGTTGCACCGTAAAAATATTTTTTTACTTTTAATGTATAAAATAATGTAATTAATATGAAAAATGTATTATTTCTTATAATATTGTATAAATTACCTGTATATTAATTAATTCTACCCTTACAGGGGCGTAGTAAGAAAACATTTTAGGGGGAGAAGGGATGTTTCATCTAAAAAAAATGATTGAACAAAAATAAGAATCAAGTAGTTCTTAAGGTTGAAAAAAACTACTAAGTACCAACACTACATATTTCAAGAAGAGGTTTTGTCTCCAACCCTCCCAAACAGGGGAGCAATAAAAACATTTTTGAAGGGAAGGAGTTTATACATAAAAAATAAATTTATGAGATTATGTTCATATTATATTAATCTTATAATTTTTAAAGCATTAATTTATTAAATTTTTTTTTTTTTGGAACTTTGTAAGAAAAAAATTGTGTCATTATACTCATTGAATATTTAATATTGAAATTCAATGTAATAAACAATACAATTTAAACAAAAACATAATCTCAGTCACAAGTTATAAATAATATCATCA